TTTTTGTAAGAAACTGAGTCTCGAAGCGTAACGTTAAAAGAAGGATGGATCACGTACTACCAAGAAGTGTGGGATGGAAATGGGTAACTATCGACCCTTCTTCGCTACTCTCGATGATTCTTGAAAGATCCCCAAGACACTCGTTCCCTCCTGCTCAGCTCTCGTGCAGAGGCGCTCATCATATTGACTTCCCAGGTACACATAGCTAGAGAAATGACATGCTCGTTCGTAGAGCAGTAATGGGATGTAAAAAACCACAAAACTACATCGTCTTCGCCAGATTCAGCTGCAAATCCATTTTTTAGAAGACCAAAATAAGCCCATTCGCTCTGCTGGCCCGATCTTCCGTGTTATAAAGCGATGCCGCCAGCAAAGCGACCACGATGATGCCGGTCGTCGATCTTCAACTCCATGTGTTTCTATTCCAGTTGACGCATGAAGTTTCCAAGAGAGGGCGGAGGAGGGACGAAATGGTGTTGCCCTATGAGGGCGACAGACAGTTCAAAACCTCATCGGCACCGATCGGGCACTCTGGCCCATTTGTCTGTGTCGAGATCAAGATAGGATAACGATAAGTGAAAAAGTTGATTTTGGAAATACTGACGTTAACATTAACGGAGCTCAGAATATCAATGTTACAACCTTCCAGAGTATTCTAAAACAACCAAGTCATTCGGAGGGAAACACGTTCAAAGATTTCAATATCCGTGGTTATCCGCTTTAAGGATAGGAGGTGAGTAATAATGATAATACGTCCAATGTTAGAGTGTAAGTACACCATCAGATATGGGATGGAAGACTGATCAATCAGTTCAGACCATCGCTAAGGCTTGTACGTTGTAAGGTGTTTGGGAAATTAATATTAGGTACGGTAAATGAAGCTTCGTTGGTTTTGGAAATTGGCAAGGCGTAGGCTATTTGGCGAGGCGAGAAATTGAATGAGTGTCAGGGAGTGAAAGGGAGGGGAACATGGACCCATATCACTCAACGATTGCGTGTGCAAACATGTTAATGGCCTAAGGCAACTTCTACCTTAAGCATGCAGAGCGACGCGTTAACAATATTCGTCAAGATATCTTGGGCTGCTCGAACGAAATTTGTCATTCGTTTTGAGTATAGCTTCAAGCATACTTCATAAAGATATAAGAAGACAAAGTTGTGAGAGATCGAAATATGAAGGCTCTCACAATGCATCTGAGTGGATGAATATATTCTGAGATAATGAAACACTCTAGTATTTTGCCGCGGGCCGTGTACATAGCCTACCACCGAATTCTTTCTGTTCAACGCGAATGCTGAACGAACAACCGAAAGCTATTAAATCGCTGGAAGCGCCGTTCGCGATGCAGGCTCAACGCACATCTCTTTATGACTACACCAACTCGCCTCGTGTCGCAGTCAAAATCGAACTGACTCCAGCAAGAGCAGCTTCATCCGTAGTGGGTTGCCTACAAGTAAACTTAGAGACAGCGTCCGCGATCAACCAAGGTGCAGAAGTTTTTCAGAGTACAATATGGCGGAGCTTGTGGTCACAGCGGTTGCCCCTTTTTTCTCGGCTCAAAGCGCTTAATAAAAGCACGATAGCTCGAGAAAGCGATAAAGCATGATGGCCCTATAAGGGCGGAGTCAACAAGTTCCACCTCAATCATTTTTCATTACCAAGATTCGTTAGCGGTGATAATTGCTCATCTTTATCCAATATGCCTTGCGGATTAATGCAGCCTTCAGCAAGAGTGGCCGATTAGATTCAGAGAAACTGTTTCCAAAGTTCAATTGATTTGTCTCGTTTTCAATCCGTAGAATATAGGTTCTTAGGGCATTTTCAATGCCTTTCTGTTTTACTTTTTACTGCATTAATTCTTTGTATGACGACATGAATCAAGTGACTATAAGATCTACGACACTGCGAAGCGCGATCGCAAGCGCTGCAGTATGTCTCAAAGAAGCAGTTGCGTTGATGCGAGGGTTATATTGCAATTTACTCTTCCCCGCAGATCAACGTGCAAAGGTTCTCTTCAGCGAACAAGTAGCTTGGTCTGCAGTGCTAGCCGTTGCACCACCTTCGCTGCGCAAAACGAAGTGTTGAATCGTCATTTCATTGCGTCGAAACCGCTCGATTTTATCATTGCCCACCTGCTACTGTGAATCCATATACAGAAACAACACACGAACGAACATAACAAGCACGAACATAAGCTGTCAGTAAGAAATCAGCTGGGATCGGTGTTGCGGCGAGCGACCACATCGACCAAAACACCACTGTCGTCGGTGGACTCCAACGATCACGCGCACAGTGGTGTTCTGGTCAGTGTGGTTCATAATTGCACACCCACTGTTCGTACACATATACCCACTAGGGGGGTTTTATTTGGGCTGCCCTATTTGAGCCCCACTACCCAGGATATCCGCTCGCGTGCTTTGCCTGCAAGCGGTATCTATAATACTTTTAGGTGTGGTTTGTTTAGCAAACTGGGCGCTATTTCGCCTGATTATGGGTGGTTTTGCAGTTCTGAAACTTCCTTCAGCTAGTTAGTCCAAGGATAGTCAGCACGCTTCCGTTCGGTATTAGAAGGATAAAGGATAAAGGATAAAGTCTTCGCCGTTGATCAATCCCTTTGTGGGATGCGGCACGCATTCTACTTCCATTCAGAATCGTAGTGGCTTATTGAATGCGATGTGGCCTATATGACTGCTGTACGGCCAGACCGCATGTACAAGTCGAGTGATTTTATCCTCCCAGACGAATCTCCAGTACCAATTCACCGTCCCCGGAGGGTAGAAGGCTTGGTTGGCCTGGGCGGGAGTCGACCCGGGATTCGAACCCGGACCGCGCGAATGGTGAGCGCCCCACTTGTCACTACACCATCTCCGCACAGATAAGAGGATACCGCCAGAAAAAAAAAATAACAAGAAACACGATTGATGTCGGTCAAAAATGAACACACTAAGCGATGTTGGCTTCTAGAGAATACAGCACGAATGATATGACACAAAGAAAACAGATAGAAAAACAAAGCGGGGCCTAGAGAAGAGAGAGGGGGTGGTGTCGGGTCGAGACTCGAGAAGCAGAATGAAGGGCGCGCGGCTAATCTTATGCGAAGCGTCTTCCCGCGCAAATCGACTGATCGACTAAGCCTGGCCAGAATGGTCAAGGCGGGGGGTCAAAGGGTACACGAACGGCACATTGACATGCCCGTAAGCAATTAAAGGTAAAGCTCGCGATCAAACATTTTGGGTTTTGGTGGTGAACTAGCGATGCCAAGGCGCCTACAAAGTCAATAGTGCAGATAAAAGAGGAAAAATGGTCTTAAGTGCCCCTAATAAAACCCCTCTGCGAGCACTCTTGTACGAGCAGAGGAGGAACAATGAGAGTGATCGAACGACATCGGGCAAGTGTTCCTGTGGTAGGTGTGGTTGCGCCATTGATCACACTGATTTCCTGCTGCCAATAATGTCTCTCTGTAGCAAATCTTCTAATCATTATGGATAGCAGAGCGGCGGGGGGGGCGTGGTCACTGAAAATGGGTCGGGCCAATCCTAGGAACAACAATGTCTCCGCCATTCCTCCCTCACCTTTGCGCCGCAAAAATGGCGCAATCGCTGCCTCTGCGGTCTGCCTACCTGCCCACGATGGGAGAGGAAGTTGTCAGCTGATTGTGGGCAACACCTTTAAGTAACAGGTCTCATTTTGGTGAGACTCGTTACTAAACTATTGTAAAGCTGCGAAATGGTACAAATAAGCCACTGTGGTTTCAAGAATTCACAACTCTCTACAACAAGCGGTTTGTATGGGATTCTAGGAGTACCATTAGTTGCCACTACTAAAGCAAACTGTGGCCAAAATTGTTCAAAACGCTGGATAAAGTCAGCATAATATGTAAATACTTCACATTTTCTCGAAAAATAAAAAAAAATGAAAAAATTGAAAAAAATGGAATTCATACGGGCTGTAACAATTGTGGCTGAAAGGAGTTGATTAGATACTGGTCCATTAATTGTAATGCCACCTTTTCCACTATAATCAGTACCAACCAATTCGCGTCACTTAAAGGCAGCGTCCGCGTTCAGTTGAGATTTTCCTCTCCCTTCGTGAGCAGGTAGTCAGGTCCGCTGAGGCAACAACTACACCACTTTCGCGGCAAAAACGCGTGAGGAGAGCCACGATGCCGTCGTTCTTATCATTGACCCAACCTACAATCATTGGCACCGCCCACCATTCATTTGTAATGGTTACCACATCGCACATTGCAGCCTGAGCTTTTTATTTTGCATTTTTTATTCATTGTGCATTGCAGGTCTTCAATGTAGTGGATCACTCATCACTCCTCGCCATGTGCTCACTGCTGCACATTGTATATTAAAGACGACTGGGAAGCCTCTAAGCAGGAAAACGTGTGAAGAAATGAAGAAAAGGTTCCTTTGAGTGCACATGTGTCGCCGATGTCTGGGCGGAATGTTTCTATGCGCATATCATAGTCGGTCCGACTAACGGGAGATACCCTGGACAGAAAGGGGGTCGTTTTTGCAGCATACGCTAAAGCCTGACAGTTGGCCTGGCGCGGCGCGGCGCCAACCCGTCCTTGCCAACCATTGAAGTACGCAAAGGTAACAATCGGTGGAAAAGGGATCGCACCACATCCTACTTCCGCGAAACGGTTCATCTGCAGCGAAAACAAGGGCGCTGATTGGCGGGGGGGGGGGGGGGCGTTTGGCACCCTGTCTATCGTCTTTTGCTTGTTCCTCTTGATTTAGACTTCTAGCCTTGGGAGGACCTGTTGATCCTTGTCAAATGGAAACGATGTCCATGCTACAGCAAGCTTTACAGGAATTCACAGGTCCTAGTAAAAGGCATCGACATTGAATTCAATGGGAACCAGCGAAGTGCTCCCCACTAAGCCGAACGACTTTGATTGTCCATCGAACTGAACTGCAGAATTTTCGAATGTATTTTTCTCAACTCCAGTGAAGAAGGTCGCAAAATTCTCGAGAGTAGTCGCGAAATGCGTGGGAATATCGAAGACTGGACTATGTTCATCGGTACACGTTGTCGTAATCCGGCGAGATGTAAAAGTTGGTGGCTGAGGCCAAGCAAGGTCTGTTCAACTAGAGCGAGCATAATTTCAGCTCTCTCTCTCATCAAAATAGTAATGCCATACGGATGTTCGATATTCAGGTGCACTATCATGAAGATTTCAACGGATGTGATGGACAGAACGATATTGCAATACTAGAACACTATGAAAATATTCCAACTTTCATGGCAACACCCATTTGCTTGCCGGAAAAAGACCTCGAGCTGCAAAGTAACATCAGTGCAGCAGGAAATGGCATGTCAGGACGTATGTTTTATCGCATAAGCCCCATCTCACGCAGATAGGGATGAAGTGGCTGGATGTTTCATTTGGAGATGGCAGATGCTGCGCTCGTAATAACAAGATATCCTACCATCACCCCATATATATAATTCGCTTCGTCTGTTTGTTTGTTTGTAAGTTTGTTTGTAAGTTTGTCTGTCCGGAAATTCGGTTCGACCTGAAGAACGACTTTGAGAGGTCGGTCAAAGGTGAAGGGATGGGTAGGGCATGGGACAAGAAATAAAAAGCACACTTGACCTATGGGAAGCCCCGCCCACAGTGGGCGGGGCCGAAAGTTTGGGGTTCCGCAGAAAAATGTTCATAATTCGCTTCCGGAGCAGCTTAAGATGGGGAAAAAGGGAATAAGGTTAGTAAGGAGTCGCCAGACTAACTGTGGCAGACACATCCAAAATGGGCGGGGCGTACTCTCAAGGTGGGCGGTGCTTCTCGCAAAATTCAGTAACCCGGTTCGCGAGTGTTTGGAAGTCGCAAAAAACTCAGTGTAGAATGTAAATATCTGGCGAATATAGGGCACGCTCAAAGTGTGTTGAGACCCGCCCACAGTGGGCGGAGCTTGCCCTAAATCGCAGGGTATTCATTTCAAGAAGTCTTGCTAGGCTCGGTTCCAGAACGCTCCAGACACCGGAAAAGTGGATTAAGGTCAGCAGAGGGTCGTCGGTGAGCATTGTGGGGCACAAATATTGTGGGCGAGGTCTGCTCCGAGGTGGGCGGAAAAGTCAGATCCAAGAAGAAGAAGAACGTCAAGGAATTCTGTAAAATAGCCTCAAGAATACATAGACACCGGAAAAAGTGGGGTAGAGAATAAAAGCGGATTATCAGTTGAAGTCTAGAAATATCCTACTTATGATAATCCGCTATTGTGTGTCTGCCGAAAGTGTGTGTGTGTGTGTGTGTGTGTGTGTGTGTGTGTGTGTGTGTCACGAAATTCATAGCGAGCGTCGCAGAAAAGATAGGATGACAGTTCCAAGAAGTGATATACATGGCAGGACGGGAACACTTTTGATGGGTGACAGGAGGTGATGACACTTGATAAGATTCGATAAGGGGCCGTAGAAGGGGAGGGTGACTGAATTCGTAGCGCAAGTTGCAGCAGCTGCAGGACCGTGATTTCAAGAAGTGATATACATGGCAGGACGGGAACACTTTTGGTGCGTGACAGGAGGTGATAACACTTGATAAGATTCGATAAGGGGCCTTAAAAGGGGGGGGTGACCGAAATCGTAGCGCAAGTTGCAGCAGCTGCGGGACCGTGATTTCAAGAAGTGATATACATGGCAGGACGGGAACACTTTTGGTGCGTGACAGGAGGTGATAACACTTGATAAGATTCGATAAGGGGCCTTAGAAGGGGGGTGACCAACATCTAGCGCAAGTTGCAGCAGCTGCGGGACCGTGATTTCAAGGAGTGATATACATGGCAGGACGGGAACACTTTTGGTGCGTGACAGGAGGTGATAACACTTGATAAGATACGATAAGGGGCCGTAGAAGGGGAGGGTGACTGAATTCGTAGCGCAAGTTGCAGCAGGTGTGGGGACGTGATTTTAAGGAGTGATATACATGGCAGGACGGGAACACTTTTGTGGGTGACAGGAGGTGATAACACTTGATAAGATTCGATAAGGGGCCTTAAAAGGGGAGGGTGACCGAATTCGTGGCAAGTTGCAGCAACGGCGGGACCATGATTTCAAGTACTGATATGCCGTAGGGTGGGGCTGGGCAGAAGCTGATAACAGTTGATAAGATCCGATAAGGGGCCTCGGAAGAGGAGGGTCATCAAATTCGTGGCGCAGGTTACAGCAACAGTGGGAACTCAGATCCGTGAGGCGATACAGGGTGATATGATAGTGATACGGGACGGGAGTGTTATTGGCGGGTACGGAAGTGATAGGAGCTAAAATTGACAAGGTAGCATGGGAAAATCCGCTTCACCGCTCACAACAACAATGCGATCGATATGACTCAAGTATAACGATCTCAGTGATTCCAAACAGAACTCATTCCTCACTGCTTATTAGTAACGTCGTGTACGACCGCTAAGCCAGCTCTATTCCAAATGCATGTGGTTTGTTTACAGAGATGTTATGAACAGCAGCAACTGACTTTATCACTCTTACCACAATTATCTTCCACAACAACTTCAGTGAGAGGGCCATTTTAAAGGGTTCCACTGCTGAATGCGGTAGTGCATTCCAAAGCAAGACGCTTTAGGAAGACAGATTGCATAAATTATAGGCTGCTTCAGTGGCTGTCCAAACAGGCTGCACTATTTCCGTGTAGGTTATGAACGTACCAGTCGGATCGCTGGCTAAGGCCGGCTTTCCTCCTTCTGTGATGCGGGGGGGGCGCTGCTGCTGCTTCTGCGCCTTGACGGAACAAGCGCTGCTTTTTTCTTGGCTGATGCAGAAGATTCCTTTGAACAGTGTGGTTGGTCAACGATCCTTAACTTAACACGCGGCAAATCCGCATGGTCCGGCGAAGCCGGGCCATGTCACAGAAGGAGGAGCGCCCGGCGACAGCCGGGGCGATCCGACTGGTTGTGAAAGAAATATTTAGCGGGCGGCAAGACGCGAACGACTCGGCGCCAGCCGGCCGTATCAGAGAGGAGGTGCGCCGGCGTTAGCCGGCGGCGTTCGACTGGAATATAACCGGCTATCGTTTAATTTGTCTGTGCGTGTGTGTGTGTGTGTGTGTGTGTGTGTGTGTGTGTGTGTGTGTGTGTGTGTGTGTGTGTGTGTGTGTGTGTGTGTGTGTGTGTGTGTGTGTGTGTGTGTGTGTGTGTGTGTCACGAAATTCATAGCGCCCGTCCTTAGCAGCTGAGACTTGGTTCCGAGAAGTGATGTAAGGAGTTGGGCGAAACACTTATTGGCGGACTGATAGGAAGTGATATCAGTTGATAAGATCCGATAAGAGGCGTTAGAAGACGGAGGTCACCATATTCATAACGCGGGTGACAGCATCAGCTAGCTCTTGATTCCTAAGATATGGTATAGGGTATGGGCCAAGAACATCATTAAGGGTCACACAAACTGTAAGCTGCTGATAAGATTCGATAAGGGGCGTTAGAAAGGTGAGGTCATCGTATTCACAGCGCAGGTCACAGCATCAGCGAAGCGTACGTTTCAGCAAGTGATATGTAGAGGGAGAGATGGGGACATTCAACGTGGGTGATAAATGGCAGCGATAACTACTGATAGGGCCTGATAGAATGTTGCAGTCGTCGTCGCTCTTCAAGGTGGTTCACGCTACCAAATCATAGAGATTTAGTGATGAGGACATTGATGACGGGTGACAGGTAATCTTATCAATCGATAAAAACAGATAAGATACCATCTGCGCTACATTTTATCTTTTCTTACTTTTCTCGCAATAATGCCGAGTATTAGAGGCTCAGTGCGGCGAGCTACTTTCCGCTTGATGGCAGTAGATAACAGATCCGAGGGTCAGTTCCGAAGTATTTCCTTTTGATGCATGCAATGCAAAAGATCTTCGCAAACTGCCTGCTATGTGATGTGTTAGGTGGTGGCGGTCGCGACTGAAGCAAAATAAGGAGGTAGCCCAACTATGCGGTTGAGTGCGGGACATCCATGTCGGTTGGTAACATTCAGTCAACCGTCGACACACACTTTGAATGTAACAGAGCATTGTGTGAAGTTCTCCCTAAGTGCCACCCATGACTCTGCAGCTATGCCTCTTCCGGGTGTGAAGGACCCATCCGGACTAATTCAACTTTGCCTATTCTGATGTTGCAATTGCGGTCCTGAATGATATAGTGGAGCCGTCTCACGGTTGAAAGTCTGTAGTAATGCAAGAGGGGCCAGATGTTGGTAGATAATGACTGATGTTGAGCTCTTTTCAATTCATTTTCCTGCATTCAAAAAATACCTGCTGCCATTTGGCACATTTAGCGCATTATGCTTCGTCCAAGGGAAGCGTGACATACAGAAGCGAGGGCACCGGCGGCCAGCGGGCGTGATGCGACTGCTTACAAGTGTCCAAGGGAAGGCCGTGAAAACAGGAAGGAGGAAAAACCGGCGGCAACCGGGTGATCCGACTGGTTACAAGATGTAGTAAGATATTACTGTCTGGGACGATTGTACTGTCTTCGTGCAGGAGAAGAAAGGTTAGCAACCGTCTCAGATGAATAAATGTACCCTAGTCAATGTTCATGTGAGCAACACAATCACGTCCACTCTTCTCTATGCGAACAGCAGAATGCGCGCTGAAGGAAACATTAAACATAGTTTTGGCAAGCGTGAGATCAGGAGAAGCGGAGAAGGCATGGATTAGGGAGAATGTACGTCAGAGCAATAGACGGGTCAATAACCCACGTCGCTTGAATTTACAAGAAAATAAAATGAAGGTGTAGGGAAGAGATAAAAAAGAGAGAAAGAAGATAAAGAATTGACCAATTTTCATCTAGTCAATGAGCACGTGTTCTCCAGATTCGCGTAATCTCTGATTCTTCTACACTCCTCCCATTTCGCCAGATCGATAGGCATACTTTCCTTTGGTTTGCACTCTCTAGTTCACGATTACCCGACTCTTCTTTCCTCCAGTAAGCAGAGTATGGACGCAGCCTCAGCACTGCCTGTGTGCGGACTACTCATTCATGAGTTTCACCCGTTTTGCCACGGACTCTTTTACGCTTTCTCCAGTCACCTCCAGGTCCATTGCTGCTACTTGATGGATTGACTGATAATGTACCAATTAGGTGCCTCTTAGTGCTACAGGGCTCCCAGCGTAGCCAGCTCTTGGCCCAGCTCACTCTTATATCCAAGCGGCCGTCGCGTGCCCCCTTTCCACCTTCAAATCATTCGAGCCGTCAAGCAACATTTTTGCTTTTCTATATCTCTTTTTCGGTTGTGTGCCAGAATAACCCAAAATTTCTGGCTTTCTCTTCACTGGTAGGTTTCCTTTTTTTGGTTTTCTGTTCATCTGGTAGGGAAAGGGGACATTTCCTGCTGTGGGTGCAGTCCTGAGAGAACAGAGTTGACATCGT